GGCTGAGCATAGAGGTGCAGCAAGTAAGTCTGATTTCCATTACGTCGAAGATAGACCTTGGCCATGTCATGCTTGTATCATTTTACTAACGCTTTCATGACTGGCAATCTTTTTATTTTTTTCATTATTATTATTTTTTTTCATTTACCACCTACTGGCAATCGCAGTCATCCTTATTATCAGCGTACTATCACCATCGTTGCCATGACCGCAAACAGCATTATCCATTAGCGCCCTGGTGTGGTGAGCGTCCGTGGGCTGCCCTTCACCCCTGATTAAGCCGACTGGGATCAACCTTTAGGCTTTAAAGATAAGCCCCGGGGATCCCCAAAGTTAGATAACAAAGCTTTAAAGTACATCTAAAATAAGCAAACGAAAAGAACATATGTGGAAAGCAAATTAATATATTTAGGGAAACATTAAAGGGGTAGATTCGAAGTTACCTTTAGATAACAAAGCTTTAAAGAATAACAACATATTTAGGGAAACATTAAAGGGGTAGATTCGAAGTTACCTTTAGATAACAAAGCTTTAAAGTACATCTAAAATAAGCAAACGAAAAGAACATATGTGGAAAGCAAATTAATATATTTAACATTAAAGGGGTAGACTCGAAGTTACGGAAATGGAGGTAAAGCAGACAAACGCGATATACAAAACTAGAAGTCTTCAGAGACCGCATACCTCCGCCATGACAATTGGGTCTCTGAAATAATGAAAATATTCATGCTTGAAGAATTACATAAAAAATCACCTCTTTCTCAAGTACACTGGTGACGTGTTTCCCTATCTCTCAGTTCTAAGAATTCCTGGATCCAGATCGTGCTCAGGATCACCACCAACTTAATGGCATCCAAGTTTGGCTCAGACACACCTCGAGTAAAAATGTCATAAAAATTAGTGCATAACTTTTCGAGTTATCCTCTTACCAACTAACGAACAAAATATCTAACCACCAACGCTACCCAAAACATTAACACCTTGGCGGAATTAATTCGAAACAAGAATCCCCCTTTATTCATAGTAAACTACAGGGTATCTCGTGGCCCCCCCGGAGTATCATCGGTTATAAAAGCTGACCAAAGAAATACAAAAATCCTCCTGAATAATCTCGCATGGAGCGACACAAAATAGGGCCTCTTAGTTCAGGCGAGAGGCGGGAATAAATTGGTCGTCATAATCCTATTTAAAACATAATATTTATTTTTTTTATTGCTATTCGTTTTAATAATCAAATACATCCAAGGAGGTACGGTCAGAAGAAAATGTTTAGCCATATATCTTATTCAAAACGTATTGCAAAGCAAATACTCCATAGGTGGCGTTTGTCGTCACAACGAAAATGACACGAGGGAGGACAACTATTAATCGCTGGCCTTCACGAGGACCCTACAATACCAACACTGCTTATCACTAGGACCTACACCTAAACCTCCCTATCTCAGGAAGTGAAAGTGGGCGGAGGGTGCTGCGGTGGGCAGCGCAAGGACGAGTGCTCCGCCGGCCCGAGGGGACTACGCCTATGGGCTACTCCTCCTGCCACTCAGGAGGATGCGAGGGCTGCCTGCCACGACAAGGGTTACTCCTTCCTGACCATCAAGGATCCCTTCCTCTTCGATGACGTCATTCGCACTCTGAGGGACGAGATGCGTGAGTTTTTTCCTTGTTGTTTGTGTCGTACTCGGAACAAACGAAATATTTGCGATGCATATCCGAGCCTAAGCAGAGGAACACCTCAGTAACCAATGGGAAAATCCCCAGCCGGACTCCACGACTACTGGGTGGACGGCTCTGATGACAATGGCGACATGGCCTGGAGGTTCTCCGACGGCTCGGACATGCCTCTCGGGTCGCCCTTCTGGGACCTGGAGTACCACCGGCCCTCCGGCGGAATGGATGCCAAATGCGTGGCACTACAAGGCAGTCGAGATTACTACTGGCGCAACTTCCCCTGCGACTATCTCAAGCCCGGCCTGTGTGTGTGGCGAAGGTCGGTCGAACCGTCCATGGTTGCACGAACAGTGAAGGGAAATCAGTTTAGAGATTTTTAAAGGAAGATATAACTCATTCTCTCTCTCAACACACTAATAACTTAACTAATTTCTCTGTTCCAGTGCCCCAGCCTCACATACCGTCACCGGTCGAGTGTCCAGAAAATAGTACCATTATTTTCGATCGTTGTGTGCTGATCCTTCCGTACCTCGTTGACGACTTCCAGGAGGCGCGGGACGGCTGCGCTGCCGAAGGAGGCGATCTGCTCAGACTCAACAACCCGGGCATCATGAGGGAGTTCTACTTCTTTGTCGAGGCTGATGCAGGTTTGTGACTGCGCGAATTGTCCTCGCTTGAATGGCGTCTATTCAGGCCGTTGGTGCAATGACTCCCGTTTAAGTGTAGAGATGATGACCCTTGACCCGTCCCTTTCAGGAAACTGGAGCGAAATTATCTTCGTTGATGGCCAGTTGAACGGAGGTGGAGAATTCGTCTTTAGTGACAATTCTGATGTGCCGATGGGTAAGGACTCCATTATGTGCTATCATACAAAATTGTATGCGTGCGTGGTCGCTTGTGTTTGTATGTGTGTGTGCAGGTACAGGCACTCTGTTTGTCTCTATTCAGGGTTTCTAGACTTTTGGCATCAAAGTTCCGTGACCTCATGACTTTCCAGATATAGTTTGTAGTTCTTTTCACATATTTATTTGCACATTTGATACATACATCACAATGCATATACCCCATTGCATTAATGTAATTTATGATTGATGTCAGATCTAAAAGATTTGAATAATGACTTGTGAGTGTGCTTTATTGACTATGTAGTTTTTCAACTTTTCATTCAGTCAACTCAATCTTCCGACGTTTATATTGATTTCTATCTGACGACTTACAGAATAGAAAACTGTCAGACAAAAAAAAAAAAAAAAAAAAAAAAAACGCAAATACTATATTTCCGCGTTTCCACTTGAAAACATTTTTTTTTTTTTTTTTAATGATATTCCCGGTCTAGAGATTTCAATTTCCATGATTCTCCGGGAGCATTGCGCTACTGCCTTCTTCCATCTTTCAAAGCACCTCAATACATCTGACTTCAGATATATTCCTGAATCTGAGAGGAATGTACGTAAAATCTCGCAGTCATTACTATAGTATGAAGAGATGGGTAACGTCTTTGGAGCAAGTAATATTCCAGTTGTACTTTCCTTTCATTTAGTTGTGCGGTACACTTCGTTTACTGGGTCATACCTGGAGAGGCAGAGATTCAAATTATAGTCAGGCAGGGTTGTTACAAACACACACATGCGCAAAATACACACACGTATTTTTTCACACACACACACAAATGCATCTATTCACACACACACACACTTATGTAGCTATTCACACACACACACACTTATGTAGCTATTCACACACACACACACACACACACGTGCGTGTATAATTTTCGTTGATGTTAGTATCAGTGTATTTATCATTATCTTTTTTTTTTTTTTTTTTTTTTTTTTTAAACTCGTGTTACTATTAATATTATAAATGTTGCTTTTATTGATATCATGATGATTTTTCGTTATTAGTATGATGAGAATTATTATCATTATTATTACCATTCTCAATTCTAATGTTTTTGCCATTATCCTTTTGTTTCTACTAATGTCATTATTATTTTCATTATCAGCATTGCTATTACCACTCTAATGATTATGTTTATAATGAAGAGCAACATCATTATTGCTGTTATCATCATCGTTACTATTCCTTGCAATAACCTGGCACACCTGAGCCCTCAGCGCTGACCCTTGTCTCTCGCCCTCAGGTTCTCCGTACTGGCAGGTCGGACACCCTACCGGGGAGGCCGACCACCTGCACTACTCTACTTTTACCTACTTAGTGAACGACGTGCCATGTGGTCTTCCTTCTCCTCCTCCTCCTCCAACTACTACCTTAGCTCCGGTGGTGCCAGGGCCCCACGACCACAGGCCTACGGGACCCTTCCACGTGGCTTGCGAGGTGCCACCTGTCTGAGTGCCGTCCAGGGAAGTGTAAGGGCTGAGAGGGCGACCTAAACCTCTTCTTACCAGGGATTCTCCCGAAAAAAACTAAACATTTTGATTATTCCGTTCGATCACTGACTTGCTTTTGGCTGTTTTGCTTCAAACCTCTCCTGTCGAGGTATTCAAATTCAATAAAATTTATTAGTTTGGTTTCATCGTTATTTTCCTGTCACCAAATCGCCGTGGCGATTCCAGACTTCAAACAGAATTGAAAAAAAGTGATCGTCTAGTAAATGATAAACTCTTACTTCCTAATTTGTGGTTTCAAAGTGAAAGAAAAAAAATGCTTGTCTCACGTTGTCTTTATTGGAAATTATTCTATATACGTTTCTGGACCCATGATTCTGACAGACCGTCTGATCCCACACACACAGGCGGTGGTGGTGGTTTTGGTGGTGGTGGTGGTGGGGGGGGGGGGTCTGGTTGACAGGTTTTTGTGTGGTAGGGTAGGAGCATGTAGGCGGAGGAGGGGGGGGGGGGTGGCAATGGTGGGACGGCTTGGGAGTAGAGGAGAGATGAGGCAGGATAGAAGAGGGTGGACTGGGGTAGACGATGGGGAGCAGGGTGGAATGGGTCGGATGCAAGAAGGTGGGTAGGTGCCATACTAGCTATCATGTTGCGTATAACTTATATGTGTTTATTCAGTGAAGCCGAGAAACATGTCCGTTTTCAATCCCTGTAAAAGTCAAAGAAAAAAATAACTGAATGAACAAAAAAATATGTATGTATTTGATTCGTCGTACATTGGAACACTCCCAATAAAGACGGTAGACATGAAAATACATAAGAAATATTGAAAATCTTTTCAAATTTGTATACACGTTTCCATGCGGTAGCTCATTACAAACGCCAGTGTATCACATAAGGATGTTATATTGATAATGACTTTCTTCAGGTGTTGTTATGGATGACCCAAATGGGGATTCTATTTCTTTCAACCAGCAGCAA